CACATGGAACATTTTCAAGAACAGATCATATACTAGCCCACAAAAAGAGCCTCAGTAAATTCAAAAAGATTGAAATTGTACCAACCAGTTTCTCAGATCACAAAGGTATGAAACTAGAAATAAATTTCACAAAGAAAATGAAAAATCCCACAAACACATGGAGGCTTCACAACATGTTCCTAAATAACCAGTGGATCATTGACCAAATAAAAACAGAGATCAAGCAATATATGGAGACAAATAACAACAATAATTAAACACCATAAAATCTGTGGGATGCAGCCAAGGCTGTGCTAAGAGGAAAGTACATTGCAATACAGGCCTACCCCAAGAAAGAGGAACAATCCCACATAAGCAGTCTAAACTTACAATTAATGAAACTAGAAAAAGAACAACAAATGAGGCCCAAAGTCAGTAGAAGGAGGGCAATATAATAAAGATGAGAGCTGAAATTAATAAAATTGAGAAGAATAAAACAATGGAAAGAATCAATGAAAGCAGGAACTGGTTCTTTGAAAAATAAAAAAATAGATAAACCCCGAGCCAGACTAATCAAGAAAAAAAGAGAGTCTACACACATAAACAGAATCATAAGTGAGAAAGGAAAAATCACCACGGACATCACAGAAATACAAAGAATTATGAGAGAATACAATGAAAAATTATATGGTAACAAACTGGATAACCTAGAAGAAATGGACAACTTTCTAGAAAAATACAACCTTCCAAAGCTGACCCAGAAAGAAAGAGAAAATCTGAATAGACCATTACCAGCAAAAAAATTGAATTGGTAATCAAAAAACTACCTAAGAACAAAACCCCTGGAAAAGACGGTTTCACTGCTGAATTTTATCAAACATTTAGTGAAGACCTATTACCCATCCTCCTTAAAGTTTTCCAAAAAAGTAGAAGAGGAGGGAATACTCCCAAACTCATTCTATGAGGCCAACATCACCCTAATACCAAAACCAGGCAAAGACACCACAAAAAAAGAAAATTACAGACCAATCTCCCTGATGAACATAGATGCAAAAATACTCAACAAAATATTAGCAAACTGATTTCAAAAATACATCAAAAACATCATCCATCATGATCAAGTGGGATTCATTCCAGGGATGCAAGGATGTTACAACATTCAAAAATCCATCAACAACATCCACCACATCAACAAAAAGAAGGACAAAAACCACATGATCATCTCCATAGATGCTGAAAAAGCTTTTGACAAAATTCAACATCCATTAATGATAAAAACTCTGAACAAAATGGGTATAATAAAGGCCATATATGACAAAACCACAGCCAACATTATACTTAACAGCGAGAAGTTGAAAGCTATTCCTTTAAGATTGGGAACAAAATAAGGATTCCCACTCTCCCCACTTTTATTCAACATAAAAAAGGAGGTCCTAGCCACGTCAATCAGACAACACAAAGAAATAAAAGGCACCTAGATTGGCAAGGAAGAAGTCAAACTGTCCCTGTTTGCAGATGACATGATATTGTACATAAAAAACCCTAAAGAATCCACTACACAACTACTAGATCTAATATCTGAATTCAGCAAAGTTGTGGGATACAAAATTAATACACAGAGATCTGTTGCTTTCTTATACAGTAATGATAAACTAATAGAAAGAGAAATAAGGAAAACAATTCCATTCACAATTGCATCAAAAAGAATGAAATACCTAGGAATAAACCTAACCAAGGAAGTGAAAGACCTATTCCCTGAAAACTATGGGACACTCTTAAGAGAAATTAAAGAGGACACTAATAAATGAAAATTCATCCCATGCTCTTGGCTAGGAATAATCAAAATGGCCATCCTGCCTAAAGCAATCTACAGATTCACTGCAATCCCTATCAAAATATCTATAGCATTCTTCATTCTTCAATGAACTAGAGAAAATAGTTCTAAAATTCATATGGAACCACAAAAGACCCTGAATAGTCAAAGCAATCCTGAGAAGGAAGAGCAAAGCAGGGGGAAGTATGCTCCCCAACTTCAAGCTCTACTACAAAGCCAGAGTAATCAGGACAGTTTGGTACTGGCACAAGAGCAGACCCATAGACCAGTGGAACAGACTAGATAGTCCAGATATAAACCCAAGCACATATGGTCAATTAATATATGATAAAGGATCCATGGATATACAGTGGGGATATGACACCCTCGTCAATAGCTGGTGTTGGCAACACTGGACAGCTACATGTAAGAGAATGAAACTGGATTACTGTCTAACCCCGTGCACAAAAGTAAACTCAAATGGATCAAAGACTTGAATGTAAGTCATGAAACCATACAACTCTTAGTAAAAAATATAGGCAAAAATCTCTTGGACATAAGCATGAGTGACTTCTTCTGAACATATCTCCCTGGTTAAGGCAAACAAAAGCAAAAATGAACAGGCAGGACTATATAAAACTAAAAAGCTTCTGTACAGCAAAGGATATTGATGGTTGTTGAACAAAAAGACATCCTACAGTATGGGAGAATATATTCATCAATGACAGATCTGATAAAGGATTGACACACAAATTTATAAAGAGCTCACATACCTCAACAAACAAAAAGCAAATAATCCAATAAAAAAATGGGCACAGGATCTGAACAGACACTTCTCCAAAGAAGAAATTCAGATGGCTAACAGACACATGAAAAGATGCTTCATATCGCTAATCATCAGGGAAATGCAAATTAAAACCACAATGAGATATCACCTCAGACCAGTTATGATGGCCAATATCCAAAAGACAAACAACAACAAATGTTGCCAATGATGTGGAGAAAGGGGAAACCTCCTACACTGCTGGTGGGAATGTAAACTAGTTCAACCATTGTGGAAAAAGCAGTGTGGAGGTTCCTCAAAAAATTCAAAATAGAAATACCATTTGACCCAGGAATTCCACTCTTAGGAATTTATCCTAGGAATGCAGCAGCCCAGTTTGAAAAAGACATACACACTCCTATGTTTATCGGAGCACTATTTATAATAGCCAAGAAATGGAAGCAACCTAAGTGTCCATCAGTAGATGAATGGATGTGGTACATATACACAATGGAATATTATTCAGCCATAAGAAGAAAACAAATCCTACCATTTGCTACAAAATGGATGGAGCTAGAGGGTATTATGCTGAGTGAAATAAGCCAGGTGGAGAAAGACAAGTATCAAATGATTTCCCTCATTTGTGAAGTATAACAATGAAGCAAAACTGAAGGAACAAAATAGCAGCAGACTCAGAGACTCCAAGACCCAGCTCAAGCTTCTACAGATAAAATCTACAATGTCTGAGGTATAAAATATAGTAGATAGGCTTCATGGGGGATGAGCCATTGCAAAAGAGAAGATAGTGAACTTGAAGACTTATAGGTAAAAGGGTACAAATGTTTAGCTATAAGATGAAGTCTGAGGATCTAATGTAAAATACAGTGATTATAGTTGAAAAAAATTGTATGGTATTATTGAAATATGTTAAGAGCATCGAACTTAAATGATCTCACACCAAAAAAAGATAAGTGTGTGAGTTGACAAATGTGTTAATTAACTAGATGTGGGAGAGATTCTTTTATAATGTATACATATATGAAATCACCATGATGTACTCTTTAAATGACTTACACTTTTATTTGCTTATTATTCCTCAATAAAGCTTAAGATGAAAAAATAATGTGAATTACTCTGAATCTCTTAGACATTGAATTTCTCATTTATAATACTCCAGACACAGATGGCTTCACTGAGGATTTTACCTAACATATAATATGGAAGAAATGATATAAATTTTCTGCAAGCTCTTCCAGAAAACTGAAGAAGAGGGAAGACTTCCCACTACATTCTATGAGGTCAGCAGTACCCCAATACTGAAGCCATACAAAGACAAAGACACTGCAATGAAAGAAAACTACAGACTAAAACAGCCAATGAACACAGATGCAAAAATTCTAAATAAAATGTTAGCAAATCAATCAACAATATATTAAATGATAATACTTTATGACCAAGTGGGGCTTATCTCAGGAATACAGAGTGGTTTAAATTTAGAAACTCAATCTTGTAATTTACCAAATTAATAAACTAAAAAATCAATAATCCCAATAGATGCCAAAAGAACATTTGTAACACTTTAATATCCATTCCTTATGAAAACTTTCAGCAAATCAGGAACAAAAGGAAACCTCCTGGGTTTGATCAAAAGCATCTTGGAAAAACCTACAGCCAAATTATTAGTGAAAGACTGAATGTTTTCCCCTTAATATCAGGAATAAGAAGGATTTCTGCTCTCCCCTCTTCTATTCAGTGTTGTAGTGCAGGTCCTAGCCAGTACAATCAGGAAAAGAAAGGAAAAAAAAAGGAAAGAAAAGTATCAAGATTGAAAATAAAAAAGTAAAACTGTCTTTATTTGAAGATGACATAACTGTCTATGTATACATTCCAATAAATGACATGAAAATCTAATAGAAATTATAACTGAATTTAATGTAACTGCAGAATACAAAATCAATATAAAAATCATTGTATTTCTTTACAGTAATATTAATAAGAAATCAAAATAAAAAGATATTATTTATAATAGCATCAGAAATCAAAGACAATAATGCTAAGTTGTCAGTTTTCACAAAGATGACTTACAGATTCAAAACAATTCCTAGAAGGGTTTTTCTTTATGGTAGAAAGCAACAAGCTGATTCCAAATTATTATGAAAATTAAATGAATCTAGACTAACCAAATAAATTAAAAAGAACAAAGTTGGAAGAATAATAATACCTGATTTCAAGACTTAGTATATAGTTATAGTTTTCAGTACAGTGTGGCATTGGTGTAATAATAGACAAATATGTTGATGGAATAGAAACTGACCCACAAATAAATGGAATGATGATTTTCAATGCCAATGTTGGCAAATCAAGTGGACAAGACAGTCTTTATGACAAATGATGAAAAAGCAGTTCGATATCTATAATGAAAAAATATTGAATCCTTACCTCACATCATAGACAAAAGTTACCTCAAAATGGGTCTTAGATTTCAATGTAAACCATAAAACTACAAAACTGCTAGAAGAAAATAAGGAAAAATATCTTAATGACCTTAGATTAGGTAAAGATTTTCTAGATTTGAGGAAAAAAACATAATCCATATAAAGAAAACAAATTATGTAGGATTTCATTAAATTTAAAATTTCTGGTCTTTGAAAGACACTGACAGAAGAAAATACATACAAAACATATATGGGTTGGGGGCAAACTCAACTTGTACACGGAATATATAAAGAAGTCTCAAAACTCAATTATAGAACACAAATGACCTGTTTAAAGAATGAGCGAAGGCTTTGAGCAAATACTTAGCCAAATATGTACAAGTGGCATATAAGCACATGTAAGCTGCTCAATATCGTTAGTCATTAGGAAAATGCAAGCTCACACCATAATGGGATACCATTACACTTCTAGTAAATTAGCTAAAATTAAAATTCTGATCATACCAATCGTTGGTGAGCAGGTGAAGTGACTAAAATTCTCAATAGCTGCTAGTGGGAATGTAAAATGGTACAACTTCTTTGGAAAACTAGTTGTTTCTTAATATGTTAAACATACACCTATCATAGGATCCATCATGTCACCACTAGGGATTTATCTAAGAGAAATAAAACATATAGGCATACAAAGACTTGTACACAAATATGCCTACCAGATAATTCGTAATATCCCCAAACCGGACAACCAAACTATCCAATAAGAAGTGAAGGAAGTTGTATATCTATGCAACACGACACCACTCAGCATTAAACAAGGAATCTCAAATGTCAGAAGCCAGATAAAAAGGGCACACTCTACATGATCCCATTTATCTAAAAATGTTTTAAAAATTAAACTAATATAGAAGACAGACCTGTGGGGAAGCATGGTAGGGTGGGCCCTGAAGGAGGGATAACAAAGAAAAATAAGAAGTTTTGAGGATGATAGATGTATAATTCCACCATTTTGATTTGAATTATTTCATGGATATACATGTATGTCAAAACTTACATGAAAACATCTTTTGCAGTTTATTGAACATCAATATGCTTTGATTCAAAATGTAAAAATATAAAATGTAAACACATAAAAAGAATTTTCATTTAAGATTTTTCCTGATTCAAAATGTTAAAGTTCATCAAACTCTGCTTCCCATCATTCACTCAACCATTTGCACAAGGCTAGAGGTCACTCTGGCATGCAACAACTAGTGTCCCTTCACTTACCAAAATTCACTTTTTCATAAAACTGTATCGACATAAACAGATTATATGCCAAATCCTTATTCACTTATATTTTCTTCACATTGAAATTCAAAGCATTATTTCCCCTTAAAGATTAATCAGTCCATGGCCATCAGTAGCTACATTTATATAACATATATGCAAAATTAGAAAAAGACTACATGTTCAGCCTAGGAAAAAATCAAATTATGCCCAAGAGTGCAGAATGTAAAATCGAAGTCCTACTCACTCTCACTCCTAAATACTTATAATTAACAATGAGACTGAGGGTGACAAAGATGATAAATGGCCATTTCCATTTCTTACTGACAATTGCATTCACTCATTATATTTGTGAACAGAAAGTACTTGGATAGAAATTATGCAGTGATTCATGGTCTTGGGGGAAAGACTGCTGGTATTTTGATGAAACCACCTCAGCATCATCCTCAGGGAATCAGTGTATTGTCACCCTGTAGCTATTACATAAAAATTGGGACTGCTTTAAGCTACCTTGCTTTCTAGATAGCAAATGATTGTTCTTTTTTTTTTTTTTAATAAGGGTGATCCAAAAGGGATTCATTTGTCCATTTAGTTGATCAGAAGAGAGTTATTTTTCTTTTAGAAGAGGAAGGAGGAAGGAAGGAAGGAGGGAGGGAAGGAGGGAGGGAGGGAGGGAGGTTGGTTGGTTGGTTGGGAGAGCTAATGTCATGTACTAAAGCAATCCCACTTTATTTACTTTTAATCATTGCCTTTATCCCAGCCATACTGGGAGGTGAGATGGTATTGACCAGGAATCCTTTATCTCAGGAGTCCGACCACAAAAAATGTCTCAGGAGGCATTAGGGAACCAAGAGTTTCTGCCTTAGAAGGCCTCCATGAAGAGTGGTTAACTTTATTCAACACCTTCTGCACCTTGATGACTATGGTGTACTCTCAGCCTTAGGAGTACCAGAGAGAGATGCCCATACCTGGAAAAGACTCCCTTAGTCGCACATATACAGTGTCTTCCTTCACTCCCAGGCTAAGCCAGCTATGGAAATGGACATGCTAAAAAGAAAGACAAATATACAGAAACCACCTAGATTTTTCTCTTATATCCAAAGGCCTATCATCTTAAGGTTGATGGAGGCTTAATTTCCAATATTCTCAGAAAATAACTCAACAACCTCTGATAGATAAGAAGATAACACTTACTGACGTCCTATTATATACCCAATATCATTAGGAACTTTACATTTGTAAACATGATATCTCAAGGCCACTTTAACCTGGAAAACACAAAGTAGGGTCAAGACAAGAATTATCAAACACCGTATCTGCCTCTGCTCACACTGTCTCTTGTAGGATCTCTATACCGTCTTTTGAAACCATGATTTGCAAGTATTTCTGGGAGTTCTTCTGCATATCACACATGCTCACAGATATAACTCTCAGGTAGGGAGAAGCCCCTTGACAGTTTCTCTTCACTCAGTTTTTCTCTGAGTCTCCCTCTGAGTCTGACCTATGACTGTTTTTAGAGTTAAGTATAGTCATAAACACAGCTAAACCACTTCTTTTCTGCCAAGAGCATCAGGGATGTTGCACACACAGGTAAATTCATTTTTAAATTCTTTTTTATAAAGAGTCGATGTATGTGTGTAACTCAAGCTTTACGCATAGCTTTGCGTACCTATGACACTTCAATGAGGAATTAAAACCCCAGAGATGGTTACTTAAGTATTGCAAATAGTGTTATCAAGCTCTAGTGTTATCAAATACCAGAGGGTTTATTGGCAAAACAGATATTAGAAGTAACTTCTCACTGAATAAATGAAGGCCCAGTGTTACCAAATTGGTAACCCTGTGACCAAATGTTTGGTTAAGCTTTTGTTTCTGCTTACTTTTTTTTGGTTGTTATATTTTTTATTCACTTTTTTAGTGCAGTGTTCTCTCCATAGACTTCTGGTACAAGAAGCTGCTCCTAAATTCAGGTAACAGAGTGGCTGGTCCCATGTGGTACTCAAACACTCTCAGCCTTTGGCCCTGATTTTTTTGTATTCAGAGTCTTTTGTACATGTCTACACTGTCTTACTTTGAGTTATTTTTCAGACGAACACTTGTTCTCTTTCGTAACTAGATTCCTGTTATGTCTAATGCCTGCAAACATTCCTCCACATAATAAAGAAGAACACCCCTATCATATTACCCTATTCCCACAGAGAGAAAAATGGAACTTCCACTAATTTAGCATCTAAGTGACTAGGAGTTCAAATAAGCAGAATGCTTATAGAAAAAAAGAGCACCTTCAAGAAAATATCAGGTTATATTTAGAGAGTTTTACCACTGAGATTTATTTTTGGAAATTGCCCTGATGGTTCAGCCAGATAATGGAGTTCTGTGTGAAGATATTTAAGATTATAGGTTAAACATGGTAGATCTTTCCTTACCATCAATTTTATCAAGCTCTTTTGGGCAGGATGAAGGGAAGTTTTGTTAATAAATATAACCACGAGTATACAATGAGGTATAATGCATAGTTTTCTTGGGTTTCTAACACAAGTTTTTGAAGAAATTTAGCACTTGTGCTCAGCCACTTAGTGTGTAAAGCCCCAGACCTCTCTGGAAAATTTAGATAAGCATGCAAAAGGTATATTTGGGACTGTCAATAAACAGAAAAGTATTTTATTTAAATATGAATCATGTACATTTTAATTTCTAAACATTAGTCCCTGGGATTTGAGGCACAGTGAAAGGAGGGAAAGGGATGGCCATCAATTTTAAAGAACAAGAGGACACAGAAAACGATGTTATAATAAATGTAGTTTGGACATCTAGTGAAACCTCAATTTAATTGCATTATATTAGGTGGTATATATTGCAGCAATGTATGTTTTAACTTGAATTGCCGGTATTTTATTTGACATGTGGAAAAGAAAACATCAAAAATTATTTAAAAATATATTTATAATACTTATGATAATACATCTATTGCTTATCTATTAGCTAAAATACATGTAAATGGTAAATACCCCCTTTGACAGCTATGGAACTTTGATCTGCTGCTCTAATTCTTCTTTAATTCCCTGACTCAGATGTTTCCTATAACTCCAACTGCTGCATTTAATGAAGAGCAGATTTAATTTTTAAGTGGAAAGTGGGTTATGAGGTAGGAACAAGCTTTGCCTTAATATGCCAACTACTCTGCTTTCCTTTAACATTGTGTTCTGAGAGATGGTACTATTTTTCAGTTCAATTGCCTTCAACAATTGAGGATTTGACTGGTTCAGGTTTGAGTTACAAATAAATCTACATACATGCTTCCACTTTCCCTATGGATTTTTTTTTTTTGCCAGTTTCTAATTGTGCTTTCAGGCGGTTCTATGGCCAAATCCAAAAGCATCCGTGACAAAGTGAGTTTTATCTAAACCACTGAGGTAAAGGAAAAAATAAACCCTATCCAGTAGGAAATTGTCAACAACGCTTTCCTAAAACAACTATTAACTGTTAAAATGGTGACCTATGCAGACTCAAAGAAAGCAGATTCTGTAAAATGAAACTCTGCCTTGTGCTGACAGGATTCCTTCTCACTGTTAGAGATAGAGTGCTAAAGCTGTGCTGCTCCGGACAGCCATCCTGAGCACAAATGCTTTTAACAGATGCTTTATGCTTTCTGAAATATTGGCATTAACATATTTCCATACACTACATATATGCTAAATACATCTGTAGAAGGGTTTTGAGGGGATCAAGCTTCGCCCAGAATCTCGGTGAAGGGAATGCAGGGCTCTCACGAAATCACAGCAAAGGGACTAAGAACATGGACTTAGGGTCAGAAAGCCTGGATTTGAGTCCTGGCCCTTCTTTTTTCTAGCTTGGGGTCCTTGGTCAAGTCGCCAAACAACGCTCATCTGTAGAACAGGAATACACATCATTAGCTCCATGTTCCCTGGGAACAATAAATGTGACAGTACACGTGCAAGGGGTTTACAGCATTTGACTCTCGGTATGTGACGTGCTCAGTTAATGGTAGTTCTCCCAAGTTTCCGAGACACTGGGAGCTAGCTGACATTTCTATAAGGGCTTGCCTCACATCTTTGGGCAACTGGGAACTTGTGCTCTGAAAGCTCTGATCATTTAATCAATATAACTTAGCATAGTTAGCCAACTTTCCTAAGAGCCAATTTCTTGTCCAGCTGAGCACTTTTTATGTTCCTGGCTGCAATCTGAATGTTTTAATTGAATTCACTCATTTAATATTCACATAAACTACATAAGGTAGGAACTAATATTTTATAGAGAAAAATAACACAGGTATAGGATTGCCCTGTATTGCAAAATGAGTGGGAGACCTAAGAATTGCAAAAGATGCACATGATCTAACACAGGATCTCATGCCCTACTACCTCTTCTACTGAGATGTAACTTCCTAAAGGGAAGCATAATTATGAATGTTTCTTTGATGCCCTCATGGTACCTTGGTATAGCATGCATATTGTGGTTCAAGGAGCCCTCCACTTATCTGAGATTGAATGAGCAAGGCCACCATGTACCAAGCCCCTACTCTGTTTCAGATATATGGTTTGGCACATTATTGACTTGATTTAATCCCCAAACTGACTTTATAACATAGGTGTGCTTACGCACACATAACAACCAAAGATTCCAGTTGTAAATCAGACCCAACTGCAGTGAGCTTGAGTAAAAATGGAATTCACAAAAAGATACACAGCTATCTCTGAGAATTTCTGAAAGAGCCAGAATTATTCTTGGTCTGGTTCAATGCCCTACCACATCCCCAGGACTGCTGCTGGGAGCTGCCCTGTAGTTTGCCTGGCTACCCCTGGACATCTAAATCCCCAACACTTCTTTCCTTGGACCTGAGTGACTCTACCATCCCCCTTGTCATGGATTCTTAGTGGCCCTTGTTTCCTCACATTCAAATCAAAGTCTTCTGATGGTGCATCTGACTGGTAGAGGGTTATAGGTCAGATGTCTGAACCCTATCTACGAGGGAGGCTGGAAAAGTGACCCTGTGGTTTAAATTTGGAGAAGAAGACACACAAGGTGGAGGATTCCCCAGTTACAGAAAGGTATTTTTAAAGTGCAAGGCAGGAAGAAAAACAAAAAAACTTGGAAAATATCCACTACACCTCCACTTTACAGTTGAGACTCAGAAGTTAGATCATTTAGTGCACATCACACAAACAGTAAGCAGCAGACTGAGCACATAGGTGCAGATCTGCCTGTTGCACCATACCGGGATGCCTCCCCCATGAATAACAGACAGTATATACGAGAGGTCTGAACTGTCAGCCAGATGGGAGCTCCAAGAAGGAGGAGGTCTCCTGGCTGGAGTGATCCCAAAGGCCCCTGGGAAAACCTCATGTGGGTAGCTCCCCAGAATCCTAACTGAAGGCTGGAAGAAACCAATCTTAGGAGTGATTTTGTTTATATAACTCTATGGAGGAAGAAACTGAGGCTCAAAAAAATACATATATTGCTTTGTCCATGGTTATAACGGTGACTTTCATAATAGTGAAAGTAGCTTAAAGCCCATGCCTGTAACAGTAGGTCCAGTACTTTGTGCAGAGAGCTGCTGACCTCAGGTAGGTGCGTTCACCTCCTAAATCACATCTCCAGCAGAATTGTTGAATAGACTTGCCTTGTCCTGATAAGCAATGTGGGAAAGAAAGTCACAAGCTGCAGTCTAAACAAAGAAGAAAGGCTTTGATTTTGTATGTGCCTTCTCATAGAATACCTCTTATCCTGCTGTGCACAATGAGGTAAAAAGGCTCTTGTTTGTGACAGAGAGTTTTTCTTGTCTCTGAACACTCCACTACTTTCCTGCTAATGCCAAGTATAGAAGGCAAGAAAAGAAAAGGTCACCTGCCTTCCACTCAATGGAGCATTGATGTCCTTAAGTGCTCCCATGGCCTGTCCCAGAAAATGTCAGATTGCATCCTTTTAACTCTTTGATGATGGTTAGCTGAATGGCTCATTGTCCAATCAATGTGTCCACTCAATTTTCACCTCCAATTTTAACACCCACAGTCCACAAGACTGGGGAATATAAGGTTGGCCTCTCAGTTTCCTGGACAGGGTGATATAGGTTTGTCTTCTCTGTCTTTAGGCCCAATAAAATTTCTGAGAAGAAGCTTAGTATTTTAGAAAAGTAACAAGGCCTTGGAGGTTAGAAGGTCCTGTGGTTGAATCATAGCTCTACCTCTGCTGGTGTGTGATTTTGAACAAAGGACTTAACCCTTCTGAGATTCAGTTTGTTTCTCTGAAAAATAATAGTAATAAATTTGTAAGAGGCTAGAAACAATGTAGGTACTTGGTATTTATTAGGTCATACATGAAAAGTATTACTTTAACCCTTTACTTCATTTACCCCTTAAACCAAAGCTGGTTTTATCTAGTGAGCTCTCATAGGCTCCTTGGTATTTGATATTTGTATGATATTAAGTTTTATGTATAAAGATGCATTAGTAATATTAACCCACGTAATTTTCAAAAAACTTTCCTAACATATGATTTTAACTCTTTACAGAAGAGGGCAGTAAATTTTACCTTGTCCCCACTAAACTTTAGACAAGTTTCTTCCTGTCTCCTGACCTCTTTTAGAGCATTTACCCTAAAAAACTTGAGATTATAAATTCTTCCACTGACCCTTTGAGATGTAAATCTTCTGTAACACAGAAATGTCTTTCTCAAAGACCTGGTTATACTCCTTTTGAAATGTAATCATTAATGAAGGTAGGCCCCTACTTCCAAGTTTCTGTGGGCGAGTAGGGGCCTAACTTCTAAAAGAACAATTAACAAACACAGATGGACTAATAGCATTGACCAACTGGCCCCTAACATCCTTTAATACTCTTCTATTAGCTTACCCCAACATTTACAAATCCTTCCACCTTTTTTTTCCAGTAGAGCTGTGTCCAATCTATCTCCTTTACTGCAAGTCTTGAATAAAGATTTCCTTCATCGCTTAGTTGGTCCAGTGCAACACAGGTCCCAAGTCACTCAATTAGACAAAGCAAAGCTAGGATTTGTTTCAGATAACTTGTACTCCTTTCATATGGACTTGAGTGGGATTTAAGACAAAGACAATAGCCTCAATTGTTTTACTAAGAAGGACATTGTCCTACAAAGGGAATCTAACTTAAATGGCTTGGATTTCCTCTTTGAAGGGTGAGGAAGTTGGACTAGATTACTGGCTTCACAGTTGGATTTGGCAGATCCCCCACAAGTTTCCACGGACAAAGGAAAAGGAGACCATGAAGATCCTAAGTGGGGGCCCCAAGATCATCTATACTTAATACATAAATTAAATAAATCAGGGTCCTGTTCTGACCTCATATGGAAAAGACAGGTTCCACTGTAGATGAAAAAAAAAAGTAAAATCATTGCATTCTGACATCTTTATAGACTTTTTTAGTTCTAATATTTTTAAGCTTTTTCAAACCTCAAGCACCCACCTCGGGTATCAAAACAAATCCAGAACTTCTCTCCTTCTCTCAGGGTCTGCTATCTAAGTATCAGAGATCTCATATATTAATCTAATGCTGTTGCTGATAAACAGGCTTCCAGTGATTAAATGCCCTTCAGATAATGCATATTTACATTTTAACAGGATTTATTTTGGAGCCAATTTTTAGATCTATTCAAGTTACTAAGTTTCTGCTGTATGCAGACGTTGTATAGGGGTTTTAGTATAAAGTAAAAATAAGGTAAAAATTCAGTATAAAGTAAAAATAACCTCCTGAAGAATATAACCAAGTAGAAGATATTTGCTATTTCTCAGCACTTCTGAAATTCTAAAGTTCACATAGTAGAATTGCTGGTTGGTTCTTTGTAGTACCCATTCAATAAGAATACTTTAAGTATAAATGTGATGCCTTACCAGACCATACATTATAGGGAACAGGTGATTATGAGATTCCCAAGAAGAGGGAACATATTGTTCATCTTTATATCCCTTCTGTCTTATCCTCCACCTTAGGTGCACCTTGTACATATTAGAGGTTAAAACAGGGATATTAGATGCATGAGTGAACACTTAAAGACTACTTCCTGCATTAAAATTACAGCACATCTAAAAAGCAAACTTTAAAGAAAATTTCCAATAATTTCCTTACATTTCACAATCTTTATACTTTTCCAAATTTAATTCAGCAAGACCTATCTATTAGCATGCCCCAGGCAGGTTTATCAAAAACATCTTTTCACTATTAAAGCTTCAACCTACTTCAGCAACAATTCCCTGTGGACTTACTTAGCATAAGGCACTATCATTTCAATCTTCATTACAGCAAGTTTTAATTATCTGCCTTAGAAATAAGGTCCTACCTCTTAATGAAAGTGGTTAGGCTGAGGGCTCCAAAGGGCATAAAGCAGCTTCCAGGCTTAATTTTGATTATATATACAATTATAAGTTAGAAAATATGCTTGAAAGTCAATGCAAGTTCTCCACCTGTTTCTCTAGTTGAAAAACATAAATATTGATAGAAATGAAGGTTTTTATTCTTTTTCACTTCTTGTCTAGAGCAGTGTTTTTTAAATATGAGGATGGTACTTCCAGGTGTCACCTGATGTCAGTTTCAGGATTGCTACTGGAGTTCATATCAGGGCAGTGGACTCAGACCTAGGTTTACTTCCAGGTATAGTAACCATGTGTCCTTAATAGCTACTCAAGTTCTATGGGCTTAATTTCTTCCTTAGTAGTACTATTTTTCAATGTTGGTGAGGAAATTAAATGACTAATAAAATTAAAGTCCTGAGACTTGTTCCTGGCATGCAATTGGTATTCAGAAAGTGTTAGTATTTATACTATAGGGGAGCAAATTTTGCCGTCCCAAGATCTGCCTCTTTGACATATTACTTTAAGTTGGTTATTTTTAAGAACCTGCAGGCTTGAGAAGCTCTAGAAACTGAGTAGATGTTACCCTTTGTAAGATGTTGGCAGCCGCACTCAGAAAATAGCGCCCAATGCAGGGCAGCCGGAAGGCCCCAAACTTCCTAATGACAAATCATCCCACACCACTAAACTACATGCTAATTGCGCCTTGGCATAAGGACCAATGAGACCCACCAAATTGTTATGCTAATAAGGCATATGGAGCCGCACCAACCAGGTCAGAGCATGAGAACTATATAAGCAAGCCTCTCCTTCCCCTCTAGGTCCTGTCCAACTCATTTGTTTCACAAAGAGCTGAAGAATAAAGCTTTCTGCAGAAGAATCCTGCTGTTGTTGCGTGCTGTTCTTGCCGGCGAGGACGGGGCGCGCGACAGTAAGATATACATTTACATGTATAAGGGGAATCTCCATTGGTAAGGGTGTCTCCCTCCCTCTCTGCACCAGGGAAAGAAGGATGACCTTAAGTCTCTATAAACTTATCCATGATTTAAGTCTGCATAGCAACCTTACCCTTGTTTACTGAGCTTTTCCTGGTCCTTCCTATAACTGCCTTCCCACCACAAAATCTTCTTTGTCTTTATGTGAAAATGGCAATAAGGTGGTGGCTTTGGCTATTCCAGGGAGTTACTCAGTTTTCCTGGGTTTCTCCCATGTGTACAGGAGGCATCCATGTTACTAAATTTTTATTTGATTTTCTCCTGTTAATCTGTCTCATGCCAAGTTAATTCTTAGGCCAGTCAGAAGAACCTTGAAGGGTAGAAGAAAATTCTTTCTCCTTGTAATACCACTTGGCTTACTTTCCCCTCCAAAAGTGAATTATTCTAAATTCCTCAAGTCCTCAATTGCATTCCTAATGTCTCATTCTCTTCAGATGAATGTATGTCCTGCATCACTGAAAAGATATATTAACTAGAAGTAGGATGGATAACTAGGATATCTTCTAGTTTTCACTCTTCCAATACCAAACATCTATGATTTCTACCACCTTTCCTTCTTCCTTTCTGTCTTAGAGGAAGTATATCCCAGAGCCTTTTAAAGATACATTTCTTAGGCTAAGTTTTACCCACTCCATTTGATCTACCACCAGATCTTGTTTCATTATTTACTCTCTGTCCTTTTAATGAAGCTTCTAATTTCTGGTCACTCTGGTTCATTTCCCTCGACCTTGAAAATAGTTTTAGCTATATTCAATCCACAAATCATACTTCCCTTAAATCCATCCTAACCTAAGGAAATAATAGAGATGTGTCCTAAGATTTTTGTTCAAAGATAGCCATTGTGAAAATACAGTAGCAAGCATTGGAAAATGCCCAAATGGCCAGGAATATAGATTGGTTAAGGAGAGATAGATAGATAGAAATAGATAGACAGATATGATGGAATGCTTATGAAAAATAACAAATGGCATACGAAACTTTTAGTCATGGGTAAATATCTCAAATTTGTTTTACCAATCATACGAATGCATGTGTATGTACATCACACACATGTGGACACAATGAAAAAAAATTAGACTTTCTGCAGTGTAATAGGGGATAACTTAAATTTTCTTTCAGTTTCTCTGCAGCTTCTAAATTTCTTATAACAAATTGTTCCTGCTTTTATAAGTGAAAAAACAATTGTCTTTATAAATAATATTTTTTGTCCTTGTGTCTTCTTCCAAATGGTTCTTTCTTTCTTTCTTTTTTTATCATAGCTATCCATCTCCTTAAAATACAGTCTATATCATCTAACTATACTTTTTTTGGTTCATTTACTCTTTAATCTACTACTGGTTCATGGAGCCCCCATTATAGGTCACACACTATGCAAAGTACAGTGCAGGTCACTGAGGCTGTAATGATGGTGGTGGCTGAGGACACAAGTTAGGCAATAAATATTTTTCTCATCAAGGGCTTGTACCAGCCTGCTAAGAAACCAAGTACTCTTTCCATTGCATATAATTATTCAAGCACAAAGTCACAAATATATTGAAATATTTACGATGACACCATTTTTAAATAAGTGCCTAAAAACACAATTACGCAAACTCTCATAAATCTGACTTCTACATCCTCCCAAAATCCATGGCCAAATGCTTAAAATGCTCTTAAAGTAATTCCAGATTAATTACATGAATCAGGCTTCTGGTTCCAGTGTTTATGACTAGAATACCAATAATTTTTTACTTATGTTGCTTAAAAAGATTGACTTATAATAATAACAAAAATAGTATAACTCTATGCTTAGAGTTCTACTTTAGAAATATTAAAATCTATTTTTTCTGATGAAAAAGTAATATATATTTATTTATTTGTGAAAATTTATAAAAATAAAAAGTAATAAAACAAAAACTACATATATATGGTTGAAGAGCAAATAACCAAGAAAGAAGTAGGGGTAGCTGATGTGGACTATACTTTCAGGAGATGGATAACTAAGAGAAAACAAGTAAGTGAGGTGTCATTTGGGAGAGGACACAGGCCAAAAGACAAATTATTTATATATATGTAATTATATATACATGAGACAAAAAGCCAATGCTGGCAAGTTGCAGTGGCTTCTCTCCTCCAAGTGCTCCTACATACTCCTCCCATTCTGGATTCTTCTAGGCAAGTGTATAAAAGAATGTCTGTATTAGATCCTGAAGGACAGCCCATATCAATTAAAAATTCAAATATCTAACCACCTATCATCTCTCTATCAATCATCTGTAGTATCTTTATGTAATGAATACAATACTTACCATTAAGAAGTGATTACACTCTTACATACTGTTCTCCTGATTACAAGGACGTATTTAAAAGTTTATACTGGAAAGGAAGGATCTGTTTTCAACTTGGACTCCAGGCAGAGAGTAACTTCACCCACTAAAAGGCAACATCTTTGCTAATTTTAGTATACACAAGTTTTCAAACACTTGAAACGATGTGATATTTACATAGCAATTACTGTATATTTTTGTGCCAGAGAGGTACCTGGGACGGACACTTAACCTGACTTAGGGAACATATTCCCGAAGAAGTGACAAAGACATCTAAGTTGAGACCTACAGAGTTACCAGTTTAAGAGGGGAATTGGGATAGGTTGACAAATGCTGTCCTCTATATCATTTGATTAAATGCCTTTGACTTGAGTGGCTCCACACCTGGAAAAAGGAGAGCTTATAAATCAGCCATTCTCTAGACACTGAAGCTGAAGCTTCTTGTAGATTATCAGTGAGTGATCTTTCAGTTCATGATCACATGTTACCTCATCTAGTTTGATCATCAGCGAGGTTCCCTCATAGAAGGGAGAATGAATTTGCATTTATCTATCCTTCCACCCACTCATCCACTCACCTAGTCATCCATCCATCCATCCATCTATCCATCCATCCATCCATCCATCCGTCATCCATCCATCCATCCATCCATCATCTATCCATCCATCCATCCATCATCCATCCATCCATCATCTATCCATCCATCCATCCATCCATCCATCCATCCATCCATCCATCCATCCATCCAAATGAACCATATTCATCTTATAAATTACAAGGTGTCATGCTTGATGTTGTCATAATAAAAAGCTTTAAAACTTCTTTACTTCAGGAGTTTTCAATCTAATCGGTAAGCTTAAGACAAGCACATGGGTAGGTACCTGCAGAATGATGAGCACGTTCAGACTCCACATATTTGAGGAAGTACATGGCCTGCCTCCTTTTTGACAAGTAGGCAGCTTTTCTTCTGACCTCACTGCATTCACTACATATCATTACTACAGATGCTATAGTTCTTTCTTTGGGCCTTTAACATTCACTGTGGGAACATTATTCATCAGATAGTAAAATCTTGAAACTTAATAAAACAAACATAGAAGAGATTCATGACTAACATGGGTACAATAGTGCCCTTGGGTCAAACATTTGCTTTACTAAATGCCAAACAGTCTCCGGTTTCTGGCAATAAAACATGATTTCATTTGCTTTCCGCACTGCAGGAATGCCTGTACTGTAGTCCTTAGTCAGAAGAAAAATAATTACGGCTATACCTTCACTGATATTGGATGTTCTAAGTGGACATTCAGACCAATTAGAAAGAAGAATGTCTGGAAAAGAACAGTCAAGGGAAGAAGACTGTTGACCTTTCAAGGAGAGAACCAGCCAAGGACATCTGGGATATTAGATGCAGGTCATCTATGTACATGGTGAAGTATCTTGAGAAATACTGTAGAAGCTACAAATAGCTTCTACAAATCATATCATTTGCTTGCCCAAAGACACCCAGTAACTTCTTATTCTGATTAGAATGAGTCTCTCCAGAGGGCCTGGAAAAGTCTTTCTAGTACCAGCCCACACATTTCTTCCTCTGTACCATCGTATTGAAGCTCTGCAGGATCAGGCCCCGCAGCCTTGTCGGCATCCCGTCCTGCACGTCCTTGTCCACTATACTCTAACTACATGTGTCGTCTTCCTGCCCCTGAACCTTCCTCGAACATTCCTCTTGCCTTTGCCTTGCTGTTCCTTCTGCCTGGAAGGCTCTTCCCTCTTGATCTTTCCAGAATAGCTTATCCAGTTACTCAGGCGTCAGCTCAGATGTCATCCCCTCAGATATGTCTCTGGTCGCTCAGTCTAGAGAAGCTCCTCTGTTCTCCTCTGTTCTCTCCTCCCAGACCATCATTCTCTATCTCTATTATTATATTTGACTTTCTTTATGGCTCACTGTGGTATCATAAATTATTTTGAAAATATTATAAATGACAAAGTAATCATTTGCTACTACAAATTACTGTAAATCTGTCAATTAACATTCTTGCCTAATTTTTTTTTCCCTTGTTTATTGAGAGACAGGAGAGAGCAGTGGTCAGGAATAGACTCTGGAGTCAACTTGGGTTGAATCCCATTTCTACCGCTTACTGTTTGGGGGATCCTGGGCAAGTCGTTTGATTTCCCTGTGCTTCAGTTTCTTCATTAATAAAATTGGGATAAAAATAGTATCTACCTCATATGTTGTTGTGAGAATTAAATGAATCAAAATAAATCACTTAAGGCCTGGCACAGAGTAGCACTAATGAATGACTACTAATAGCAGCAGCGGTTGTCTTTTCCACTCGAATTATAAGAGTAGGAATTTAGCCCTCTAGTTCAATGCTAAACCCCTAGTATCTAGCATAGCATTTGACAATAGTGGATAATCAATATTGACTGAATAAACGTTTTAAAGTAGAGTGCCTAGAGAAAGATAAGAAATTTTCAGGGGATTAGATCTAAAAAAGAAATTTAAGTCAGTGATGAAAAGAA